ATGGTATACCTGGGGGCTGGGAGGGGGAACTAATGGGACACATAGGGCCTGGGGGGATCTAATGAGACACCTGGGGGCTGGGGTGGGAACTAATGGGACACCTAGGGGGATGGGAAAATAAAGGGACAACTGGGGGCTGGGGGGAAATAATGGGACACCTGGGGTCTGGGTGGGGAACTAATGGGACACCTGGGGGCTGGGGGTGGAATTAATGGGACACCTGGGGGCAGGAGGAGAAACTAATGGAACACCTGAGGGCTGGGGGAAGGGAACTAATGGGACACATGTGGGCTAGGGGGAAAACTAATGGGACATCTGGGGGCTGGGAGGAACTAATGGGACACCTGGGGGCTCAGGGAGGGAACTAATGGGACACCTGGGGCTGGGGGAGGGAACTAATGGGACACCTTGGGGTTGTGGTGGGGAAACTAATGGGACACATAGGGGTGGAGGGGTGAGAACTAATGGGACACATATGGGCTGGGGGAACTAATGGGACACATGGGGGATGGTGGGAGCTAATGGGACACATGGGGGCTACAGAGACACATGAAGGGCTGAGAGGGGGTATAGGAACACATGGAGGGCTGGGAGGGGCTATATGGTCCTATGGAGGGACTGACGGAGATAATAAGGCACATGGATGTCTGGGGGGGGGGTAAAGAGACACATAGAGGGCTGTGGGGAATGGATTGAAACACAGAGAGGGCTGGGCAGTGGACTGAGGACCATGGAGGGATGGAGGGGCTAATGAGACACATGTAAGACTGGAGGGGGTGGAATGAGACACATGGAGGGGCAGGGGAGTAAACCGACAGACACACGGAGACGCTGGAGAGAAAAAAAAAGACACTGAGGGGTCTGGGGAGAAAGAGACTGAGGGCCTAGGAAAGGGGAACAGGAGACACACAGAGGGACTGGGGAAGGGGAGAATGAGACAAAGAGGCTGGGGCTAAGAGACACATGAAAGGGGCTTGGGGGAGAAAGACACAAACAAAATGCATCTTCACTTGTGTCTCCTGCTCTCCCTGTAATTTAGAGTCGACCGGTAGTTACCAGTTTAATGTAGTGATTCTGGTGTCTATAGTCTGTTCCTGTATGCTGAGCACTATAAATGCTACCTTTTCAGAGAAGAGGCAGTGTTTACATTGCTGCCTAGGAACATCTCTAGTAACAGTCACTCAGACAGCCACTAGAGCTGCTTACTAGTCCAGTGCTGCACAGTGTGCAGCACCTATGTTGATCATCTCCACGGTCTGCATCGAGGCGCTGAACGCTCCCCGCAGAGATGCATTGATGCAATGCATCTCTATGAGAAGATGCTGATTGGAAGCAATGACGCACAGCGTTTTGCCACACATGCGCAATAGCCTCCCAATGCTTTCCTATTGAAATGAAATTGGCGTTGACTGAGATCATCCAGTTGTCGGCCAAAGAGCACAGTCTTGTTATCTGAAAATGAGCAAGATAACGTCATTTCTTTACTGCTGTGCAATAACATACATTCACAATTTCAGTTCAATTACGAAACTTTCCTTAATAGGTCATGGTAGATGTACTGAAACATTGATTATATGCAAATGCACGTCTGCTTACAATAAATCTGCTCTTTTGATTATTTTGAAGCCCTATGAGTTCTTTCTTTCACGTTTGAGTGATAGTTTTCAGTTTTTGTTTCCCACTTTCATATCTGCACAATATGCTGACGCGATGCATTATGGGGCCGGTATATAATTTTTTTCCAAAGCTGCTTTTCATTCCCTGTCTGGCCCTGGTATAGCAGGGTCAGGGACATCAATGCAAAAGTGAGTACGGCTTCCGTCAAAGGGCACATAAACAGTTTGTTGCTGGAAGAGAGCCATATCAGTGTCATCCTCAACTTTATCACGGATCTTATACGGTAATTTGTGGGTCCCAATCACTTTTTATTTTATTTCTTTTAAGGTTTACGTGAAATAGGATGAATAGGATATATCAGTGGTTCCCAAATTGCACACCATGAAAAAAAAAATATTGTTCAGTTAAATCAATTGTACTTTAGTGGGCCATACAGTTACTAAATTCACCCATATGCAGGGGTTTTAATTTAGAGGTGGAGAAAAAATTATTTGGCAGATAAAATAAAAAGGATAGTACTGCACAAATCTAACTAAATCTAACTGTGTGTGAGAGTCAAATGAGAGGCTTGAAGATATATTGTATTTCAAGGAGCAATAATTTAAGCATACAATATACAATTTTTACTATGATGGCCTGTCTCTGCAACTGTATTTAACGACAAGATAAACATACTGTATAATAATTTGATGAAATGTCTAAAACTGATCTAATGTAACAGATTGACCTATGAAAACTAAAAGCTTTCATGAAACCTTCAAAGTCTTCCAGATATGAATTTATGAATTTCATTATACTTATGTAAGTGTATTTATCTTTCCAAATCATTTAATTGTAAGTGACATTTATGCAATGCTTCAACAAACATTAATGAGCATTAGCTAATAGTAAAATAGCTCTGACATGTAAAATGCCTTCACTGTGCCATGAGCTGAAGTTTAGCCCAGAGAGTCAAGACCTGTAGTGCTACAATTTGTAATAGTCATATCTGAGAACATTAGGTAAGAAAGGACATTTAACTCTTACAGCTCTCCATCATTTATAATCACTGACAGGGTTAAATACTAAACAGTAAACTGTAGTGAACTAAAAATCAGATTGCAAAATGTAGACTAAAATATCTGATTTGGGGAAAAAAAATCAAGTCCTGCTACAGCAGATGACAAAAACTTTGTAAAATAATACAATGTGAGAAAGATATTACCTTGCTGCAGAGGGATTTAGATAGACTGGGGGACTGGGCACTCAAATGACAGATGAAATTTAATGTTGAAAAATGCAAAGTTATGCATTTCGGCATAAAGAATGCACAAGCAACGTATATCATTAATGGAAGCAAATTAGGGATAACAACACACGGTAAGGACTTGGGAATTGTTATAGACAACAAACTATGCAACAATGTGCAATGTCAATCAGCAGTGGCTAAGGCCCGCAAGGTATTGTCATGCATGAAAAAGGGCATTCATTCTCGGGATGAGAATATCATTTTGCCTCTTTATAAATCACTGGTAAGACCACATATTGAATATGCTGTGCACTTTTGGGCACCTATTCTAAAGAAGGATATTATAGCACTAGAAAAAGTGCAGAGGCGGGCTACAAAATTAATAAAAGGAATGGAACATATCAGCTATGAAGAAAGGTTAACAAATTGAAACCTCTTTAGTTTAGAAAAACGTCGCCTGAGAGGAGATATGATAACATTATACAAATATATTTGGGGCCAATACAAACCATTATGTGGAAATCTATTCACAAACCGGACTTTACATAGTACACGAGGTCATGCGTTTAGACTGGAAGAAAAAAGATTTTGTCTAAGGAAAAGAAAATGTTTTTTTACTGTAAGAACAATAAGAATGTGGAATTCTCTGCTTTAGAGTCCATATAGATGTTCAAACAGCAACCAGATGCATACTTGCAAAAACAGAATATTCAAGGATTTAATTTTTCAATGTAGGGTAATAGCTGCTTTATCTAAGGATTAATCCGACTGCCATTCTGGGGTCTAGAAGGAATTTTTTTCCTAGTTTGTTGCAAGTGCTTCAAACTGTTTTTTTTTTTTTTGCCTTCTTGAGGAAGGCTGAACTTGATGGATGCAAGTCTCTTTTCAGCTATGTAACTATGTATGTAACTGTGTAGCTATTTAACCCTGTATTTTGAAATTTGGTTTTCAGCTTATTGCTATGCTCTATATACTCATTAAAACATTTAGCTGTGTAGTAATACAAGCTAATGCCTCTCATTAGTCTTCAATGAACACATCACCTATATCATAGGCTTGGCACAGAGAAAAAAAATGTTGTTTGGCGGCATCAATTCATCAAACAAGACAGTTGATTAAAATTCGTCCATGTGGCGTTTTGACTCAGATGACTTTCAATCGTGCAATTGTTTCAATAAAAATGGTTCAGATTAACTAATATGGCTCAAAAATTGACCAGTCACTTCACTACAACGTAAACACAAACTGTGATATTCACTAAAAACTGATTTTGTCCATATGGACAAAATCTGTTGAAAATTACCAAATTTCATTAGCAATTGACAATTCTGCATTGACTATTCTCATATTTACTAGAGCCCAATATGGTCAGAATTTGGTCGCATTGAGAGGATTTACAGCAATAATCTAGATGCAATTGGTGTTAGGATAGAAATTGGTGCTTTAGCTTCTGAATCCTATGCAAAGTATTCACAAAGCAAAGATTACTGATCAAAGGCCAAATGCATCTGTAGGATGAATATTTGAAAATTATCATTAACTTACTTTTTTGCAAGTGAATGATAAATTGATGTAGTATTTCCCCTCTAGCAGTGCTCTTATTTTTTATTTTATTTAGGGGCGTTGGTTATAATGGACTTTTATTTGTCCTTTTTTTGAGGCTGAAAATAAATATATATATATTTTTTATCAGTCATCAGGTTTGTTGCTCCCTCCTCACTATTATTAGGGTCAGGGAGAAGGTAGAGTAATTTATTTTTTATAGGGGTTAGCTAGGGGCTGGGGACATGCCATTGGGTAGGTAAGGTTTGAACATGCCATTATTTGATGGGGTGGACAATTGCATGTTCACCATCCATGTTATTTAATTAATTAGAGCTGCCCTACCCACTTTCAATGAGAGGAGGCTGGGGGGACTCTAGGGCTTCCCCCTTGAATTGTTTTAATGAAGGGGTTGCCAATTGGAGGGGACTGAGGAGATGACATTATTTAATATTATTGTTAGGGAGAGGCCCCACCTGATACCAATGGGTGTGCATGGTTGGACAGAAGGTCCTTCCCATGAATATTATAGCTCATCATTAGAGATGTTGCGAACTTCCCGCGAACGGCTCGCCACGGTTCGCCACAAACCGTTCGCGGCGAGCTCCGGTCAGCTGACACATCCCGGCCAATCTCCAGCAGACCCTCCCTCCTAGACCCTCCCACCTCCTGGACAGCATCCATGTTGCTGCCTTCAACATGGATGCTGTCCAGGAGGTGGGAGGGTCTGGGAGGGAGGGTCTGCTGGAGATTGGCCGGGATGTGTCAGCTGACCGGAGCTCGCTGCGAACGGTTCGTGGTGAACCGTGGCGAGCCATTCGCGGGAAGTTCGCAAACGGTTTGCGACATCTCTACTCATCATGTGCCATTACAAAGATAACCTATGCCTGTCTATTAGACTGATCTCACCCAGAAGGGCAGTCCAGATCTGAAGTGCAGACCGTCTCTCTCTGCACGAGAGATACAACAACTCCAAATGATTGCATGGGTCTTGTAAGAAAAAAAGATTCAAGTCTCTTGAGTTCAATCTTTAAAACACATTTTTTGATCCTATTAATTAGACTTGTGCATTTAGATATAAACAATTTGCAATTTGTCTGAGTTTTAGGGTATCAGCAAAATTTCAAATTCAATCTATTCCCTTTAGGGATGAATCGTGTTTTAAACAAATGGACAATGGACAAACCATTTCAATTGTTTGCAATTCAAAATACCATATTTGGCTTCAATAAAAAGGATGAAAGATAGAGAAAGCAGATAATTGATGGTTAGGAGACAGCCACGGAATGTTGATTTAATTCACCGATAAAGTGACCAATAGAGTGGGAAAAAAGGAAGAGCAGTAAAAAACAAAAATAAAATCTATATTTTAATAAATATATCATATATAAATATATATTTTTTATTTTTACCGCTGCTTGTCTTTTTCCTTCTATCTGTGAGCCAAATGGTGAATAAATACACCTATCAGTGTACTGTAAAATATATACACAATATTTACAGTACATGGATTGGACTATTTTACACCCTTTTAGTTTGTCTGTTTCTTGCTGAAATGGTTTGGCCAAAACAAATTGTTTAGCTGTCTAATATTCATGTATTTGTATTGTATATTTAATAAATGTATAAATGCTGATTTCTTTATTATACCTAATTTTTTACTCCATTGTTTATTTATTTTCACTTGATCTTTGAACCAATTTTCCCTCTCTCGTTCAAATAATTATTTTCCTGAAATTATTGCATAGCCAAAATTGGTCTGCTACCAATTAAATAAGACTTGAGTGTGGGCTGGCTTGAACCAATATGAGAGAAGCTGTTCATCTAGCTCTGCTTTATACATTGGTTGAAAAGTCAGGTGCAGATAAACAGCATAATACATTGCAGAGTTTAAGATGTGAATGTTAAATTCTAAGAACTTGGTTAAATGCCAAACAACAGAGAGACAGATAGGATGTTGGAAATAAAAAGTCTAACATTCTTGTTGTACAACCTCTAAGATTGAATTTCTCGATGAACATAAAACATCACTCAGGATACGTGATTACATTGTAACAGTACATATACTTGCATAGATAGATTACAACAGTAAGTTTCAGATAACCGATGTATGTGCTTTCCAGCTACACAGAAGGCAAGCTAAGGTTTCAAAAATGTTTCAGAAAATGACTCATGGTTCTTTAAATGTTTAATAAACACACAATTAATTGAATCAATTATTCTGTTGAGGATTTTTTGTTTCTCTTACCTCTTCCAATGCATAATTTGAAAGAATTAGACACATCATCCATTTAAAGGGACTATCCACAAATTATTTTGTTGACAGCTTAAATTTTAATATATTGAAAAATATGCATTAAAAAGATGCTCTTTTATCTGAATGTCTGCATTTTGTATACTTTACAACAAATCCCTGAACTGCATTCTTCTACCAGTTGTGTTCACTGTAACCAGGAATGGGCTAAGATCTCAAATTATTGGGTCCATGGTTTCTAATTTTTTCGAGTTGCAGAAAATAACCAGCCACTAGCGTATTTATAATAAGGCCATAAAGAACATAACCTGTTCTTGGCAAAAATGAATAGGAAAATTTTATACAAGGGAATGACAGCCACAATGAGAAAGAGCTCAATTAAATAAAAAAAAATTAAAAAAAAAAACTGGTTACAAATTGTCCTAATTATTAATTTATTTATTTTTTTAAAATCATAAAACAGTTTAACAAAAGTACGTTTCATACTGAATAGATTTTGAGTGCATGATATATGTGTTTTGTCACTGGGCCATTTTTTTTTTTTTATATGTTTAATATAATGTTAAAGGAGCAAAGGAATTACATAGTGTAATTTTGTCAATTGATGCTTTTATAGTAATGTTTTTATGAGCACTCTTGATGCTGACTGTTATCAGATGTTGTTCAAGTAGGCTGTCAACAATTATTACTTAACAACTGACTTGCATAAAATGGATTAGAATGGTCAAATCAGATAATGTCAGTTACTTTTTTCAATTATTGTTACTAGTTAATTGAAAAGTTTAACCCATAGTTTTTTTCATAAATATATATAGAGAAGCTTACCCATATAAGTCAATTTGACCATTACGGAAATTATTAAAGCATGTAATATTTTAAGTTACCATGTTTTAGGTGCTGGGGAAAGCAAAGACAAATAGAAATGGTGCTATGTTGCCAACAAATCTCAAATCATTTTCCATATGCATTCCAAAAGCCTTTGCAATTATTTAAATTCTTTACTTCCACCTTTTAATTCATACAACCTAAAGTCCAGTCTAACCTTTACAACTACAACTAAGCCACATGTAAAGATTGCAAATGCACTGGTACCACCTAATCTTTCAACAGCACTCATTTACCCCTGCTAGGAGATTCGTTTAGGTAACTTGAGCTAAGTCCTGCAATCTATGGCTGTTCATTGGCTTATTTTGTATTATTATTCTTAATCATTCTGTGCTGCAGGTATCCTGATCTATGGTTATAGTTATATAGTAATCCTCTTTCTGCTCTCATAATGCTTACCTCTATTTGTTCTATTTTTTGTATTCCTCATTCTGACCCACAGTGATATCTACTACTGGGGACATGGTGCGACCCAATGAATTACATATATCATCAATAAGAGCAAAGAGCACAACTGTCAAATCCAAAGAGATCACCATGAAGAATGTGACTGGAAGTTGCCAATTCCTTCTTTTCAAACACCAATTTATTACTGAGCACCATTTTACAACAAGAGGCCCGATTCTGTCTGTAACACTACTTCACAATACAATTCCTGGAGCATTAAAAGTTCCAGAGCTCTCCAATATTAGAAAAAATAAATATATATATATATATATATATATATATAGATATATATATATATATGTATACCGATTATGGCATGTTATAACAATTCAGCCATTTGTTGGCCTCCCATATTACAGTATATATTCTATTCGAAACACATCTAAAAAGGTGATTGCGGAGTGAAAAGTAACCACATAACGGATGTCTTCATGCCAATGCATCCACAGATATACAGTACAGTTTGGAATCTATGGCATGGATGTCTTTTGAGTTATGGTGGACTATAGAATGTAGAATTTGCAGCCATTAGCACCTGAATGTCAATGTGACCCTGTGTCTATACACTTTACAAGTTGAATAAGAATGGAAACATTGAATTGTCAAATAAAAATAAAACTATGCAACTGAAAGCAGGCACATCTTTGTAATTATAAGTTAGAGTTTAGAGAAAGACAATTAAGCTATTAAATTTTCCACAAAAGGTTCTTTCGCTCTCTGTGAGAGCTCTCTCCCAAGTGTCTACCATACTTAAATGATTAAAGAAAACAAAATATAGTTGCATTAGACATTTAGGTTGTGTACCTTATTATAGATAATTTAGTGATTTTCTGGTTTTGCATTAATATTGATGGAACAGGCATTTTATCCTATTCATCTTTCTTAAATAATTGCTAAATAATTTAGCCTTGATATGTTTCTGGTTGCTTATTATTCTGCAATAAATGTATATGTTCTAATTAAACAAAAGCCTACTGTACTGAAAATAAACCCACAAAAACTAATGTAATTTAAGACACTGGGTGTGCATGTTCTCTTTGGACATAAATATATTATTTTTAGCTTATTTATAAAATATGTGTAGACTCTATACTCTTAAAAAAAGTGACTCAATATTGCCTAGCAGATGTCACCGATGACAAACAGCTAAAGTGCAGGGAGGATATCAACTGAAATCACATATTTTTGATACTTTTTAAAAGTGATAGGAGGGATTGCGTGCTTTACTGTGAATACTTTGTCTTTTCTGCTGAGAAATGTACATTTGACACATGGCACTGCCATTTCTCATTCAATATTAAATGGTGTGAAAGACCTGTCTGTCTTAAATGTCATTCTTTCTACAAAAAACTAATTCTCCTTCTAGGATCAGCGATTTGCAAACTTAGTGTATTTAATACAGCTATGCAATTGCATTTTTTTAAGAATAAGCTAGGTAAAGGTAGACACTTCCACAACAGGGGAATTAATTAAACAGAATTTACTTCCACAACAGGGGAAATTAGTTAAACAGAATTTACTTCACATGCAACCACACTGAGCTTTGTTAAAGGGACACTGTAGGCACTCAGAGCACTTCAGCTAATTGAAGGCATCTGTGTGCAATGTCCCTTTTGCACTTAGGGCTGCAATGTATAACATAGTTCCATAGAAACTGCAATGTTTACATTGCAGCTCTAAGTCTGCCCACAGTGGCTGTCTACCAGACAGCCACTAGAGGGCTTCCTAAATCGTAACGGAGCTTTGGTCCGGTAAATGACGCTGGATACCTTCATGCTCTGCATGAGGACATCCAGTATCAGATTTTTCCCCATAAGAAAGCATTGATTCAATTATTTCCTATGAGGAGGTCTAATGCGCTCCGGACATTTGACGCACATGCGCATTAGTGCCTGCTCATCGTGGGCAGTTAGAGGGGGCAGAGGCAGGAAAAGGTGAGCAAATAAAATGGTTTTAACCCTTTATGCAGCCGGGTGGGGGAGTGTGAGGGAGAGGGAGGAGCAGAGGGAGCTATAGTGCCAGGACAACAGCTTTGTATTCCTGGCACTATAGTTATCACTTTAAGACATAAAAGTGTGCGTTAGATAATTATGTCTATTAAAGAAAACATAAAAAACACACTTGGTAGGCATATTTAATAAATACATGTATTGCTACTAAGAAACAAAAAACTAAACTTGATG